GCTCATCATGTCCAAACCCCCTTTCCCCCAAAAACCATCCAACACCTGCAAGATCGTGACAACCGATCCCGAAAAAGTTCCGCATCGAGGCCGTTGCGGGCGCCGCGAAGACAAGGAAGAACCTCGGTGGGGCCCGTGCTTTGGTCTGGTGCGTCATGTGGCGGCTTGGGGCGATTGGTGGAATCTGCATCCTGTTGTTCAAGCAGGGCCTAAGCAGGGTGACAGCCCCAGTCCTCGACTGACAGTCTGACGGCTCAGGGCAAGAGAGAGAGAGAGAGAGAGAGAAGAAAACGGGTCTCACTCAAAACAGCTAAGTTACCCTCGGATTCAAGGTCACACCATGGGTGTATGCCCTACCCCCCCAAAAAATACTGTCAGTCTTTCTTTCTTTCTTTGCGAAAAAACTTCTCACCCTCCTTCACCCAGAATCCCGGGTGAAGGGTGTTCTTCGTGGCACCAAACCATACAGTTCCGATCGATTTCGTGGGGTCAACACCCGTGAGCCTTTCCCCTCCGAATGGTCCAAGCCACTGGGAGATCCAGCAAACACCGCAGAAAACGCTGAGTGGTTCAAAGTGATATGGCTAAAGCGGCTGCTGTATGGATCCGATTTTGCTGACCTCAACTAACTAGAAAATCGGCAAAGCTGTCATCAAAGAAGCTTCAAGGGGCACCCCAACCCATAAAGAACACTCCTTCAAACCACATGTGTACCAAGTGAATATATATATATATGTATAGTACCAAAGTACTATATATGTGAATGCCCCGGTTCCAGCTATCATTCTACACCAGTGCGGCCGACGTCGCGACCTCGTCTCCTCTCCGAACGGGTCCAACGGGTCCGTCTTCGTTCCGCACCAGGGAGGTCCGTGGTTGAACCACTTGCTGTTGTGGATGGCCCCATGCGCCTGGACTGGACCGAAGCGAAGCATTGTCCGGACCTGCTACTCTTTGCTTTCGGGCGAACAAGAAAGGGTGGACATATATGAAACCCTACATGATAAACATTGCGACAGAAATGGCATGAAATGGCACACAATGGCTGCAGGTGGCAACTTGCAAGAAGAACAAGGACAGTTTCTTCACAACTCCTTGTTGCGAACAGGACCCCATCCGCTCGCCTGCGTTCTCATCAGATTCAACGCCCAAGGAGATAAATGCTTCACCTGTTGTCACCGTCTCTCGTGCGCTGCGTCTCTCGTTTTCGCCGCACACTTCGGCCAACCAATGACTGCACACACCCTGGATACCTTAGTTTCCCCGAACTGGCGAAAGCACACAGAAAGTCTCCAACTCAGCTGGAGTCGATCACCACTTCCCAATCTACAGCAGCTGAAACTGGCTGATCCCGCTCTGTCCATGGCGCCTGCTCCTTCACCGCGGCCCCTGGAGGCAGGACTGTGGGATTCCGGGTCTACAACCCGCAGTTCTTGCCAACAGAGGAGCAACCGCGCCAGGTCACGAGTCTTCTCTATCAATCTTGAGAGGTCAATCCTTTGGAGAGTCAAGGGTCCTTGTGAGGAAACGGGTTGCCCAGTGCTTCAACACATCGGTCTGTGGGCATCTTTGCTCCCAAGTTGATCGGAAAGGAAGGAGGACGTGGGACTTGCATCCTGGAGTATAGGTTTCTTGACTGTCCCCTCTCCTTCTCTCTCAGAAAGCAAACAGCCCCCAGTCCTGCTATCCTGCTTATATCTTGACTCTCCCGTTACTAAGCGTGGTCCCCAGGAAGCCTGAAAACTCTTTCCGTGCCCAAGTCCGTCCCGCCTTCCGCTTCTTCTACCCACTCCTTGGAAAGGAAGGAGTAGTGGCATGGCGAAGGTTTACTCCTCATGCGTGGTCATCTGTTTGGAGGCTATGACGGACACTCCTGAAGGGATCGATGCCTCAAACAATATGTATAAAGATCGTTTGTGAGAGTGTTTTGTTTCATGCTTATAGATTGGAGTTAGTGCTTTCTTTTGTTTCAGAAATCACCGCATGCCCAATGCCCAGGGTTCGACCGAGACTACCTCCTCAGAAGGTACTTTAGTGTAGGGGATATGGGCCATGGGTCACTTGAGCACAGTCTCCCCAATAACACTTCTTCAATTACCAGGTTTCATAAGCAAATCAGTGACCTACAAAAGTAGCCTACGCTAGTACGCCTCTTCATTTGGGTCCTTGCATCAATTCTTCCCTGTCTTCCGTCCTTTCCTGGCCATGTCTTACCGAAAGTGTTCACCCAAACTCCGGCGCTTTGGGATCTACTTCCCACTTCCAGACTCCGCGGGACCCTCAAAGGCGTCAATGCCCATCATGAAGTCAATGCTAGGCATTCTTCTCCAGTAGCCCGCAAGATCCCGCAAGGTCTTTTTCAACCGCGGCCACCACTGAGTCTCCAGCGGCGGGCAGAGAGAGGACCCGCCCTGGGATTCGCGTGCCCAGGCGGGTTTTTAGAAACGATGGTTGCAGGAATACATGGATATATATATATATATGTACGGTACAGTATAGTGATTCTTCTTTCATTGCAAAAAAAACATGTTGTTCCTTCAAATCCAACCAAGCAACAACACAGAACGAACCCTGCGACAACAAAGACATTATGTTATAAATATATATATATATTATAGCTAGCCTGGGGATTTTAATTGGTAGTTCTTTTTTCAGAATGGGCAACAAGTGGAAAAGGCCTTTGAAGAATCAAACACCTAGAAAAGTCCAATCCTAAGACTTCTCAATGTTTCTTTTGATCATTGAAGAACAGCGGAAGACCCTCATGATTCATAGACGAGTATATATATATATATACATATTTTTTTTTTTAAATAGGGGCCATTGAAAGGGGCCATCACTGTGGTCCAACTAGGTCCATGTAGGCCGTGGGGTTTTGTATGGTTTTGTCATGATTTTGAGACATTTGAGATGGTGTGAACATGTGTAAACCTTTAGCCTAAATTGGTTTCTGATGTTTTCTGGAATTTGATTGAGGCTTCAACCTGACTAAGGAGAGTGTAAAATGAGAGCGCTACAATGAGAAGTACGTGTTGGTTGCACCCCCCCAAACCAAACGGATATGAGCTTCTCCAAATTAAGACGAAGGACAAGGAGGTATGTAAACAAAAGCGGAAAAGCAACACAACACGAACATTGAGTTTACACGAACTGTCGTTTCATCTCAAGTTTTCACGAAGTAACCTATAGCGTTCCAGTTTCTGGAACCGAGTGTACAAATGTGCAAGAACAGCCGTTTCATCTTCACACTGGTGATAGTGCCAATGCCCTCCCCAACCCCCGAGACAATGCATAAAAACAAGAAAAACACTGTTGAACATGCATAAAACATGCACTAAAGGTCTTCCCAGCCAAAAAGAAACGAAACACCACGGCCGTCTCTATGCACCGTGGTCCAACTACTTTGACATATGTTGATCCATCAAAGATGCTATGAATGCACATTGTGAGCATTGGTTTGGAAAAATACATGTAATTTGCGAAGAAGTCTGACTCAACCTTTTTAAATGTATTTGGGAGTCAGGGCAAACAGTTTTCTTGCAACAGATTAAAAGAGGGTTAAAATTATACCCGTGCCAGTACTTGGCTTGATTTGAAGGAACACATGTGCAAAACATCCCATTGTTAATTGATGTTGATTGATGCGCCCTTCACTGGGGCGTCCTATCCTCCACTCACTCCGTGTGTTGACATGTTTTGCGAAGTTCAAAAGGGTTAATGTACAAATATGTTCAACTTGCTCGGTGCCCGAACTCTACCACCTTCATGGCAACAATTGTCGTATTATCTACAAATAGAATCTTCATCCCCCCCGAAATAATCAAGTGAAGTTGCTCAACTACAGTTGACCCAAGGACCCTCCAGTGACTTCGTCGAAGTGGGTGACTTGACCTTTGAAAGCCTCCAAGTGGGTGACTTGCGAGGCTTCGTCTCAAATGGCCACTGCTCCAACGAGGGATGTTCCTTTCCCCATGCTCCATGCTCGAAAACAGAGCCACGACGCAGTTTGCCTGGTGGAACATCACGGCATGAACTGGATTGATCTCCACTCAAAAGCCATCCATAGCTCCCTGAGGATCCAAGTACCCTCTGAGAAGATGTTTGGGGTGGCTTTGGAGGGTCCAAGTACCTTTTGAATCCTTTTGAGGAGGTACGACTGGATCCCCAGGGGCTGCCATAATCGCTCCAATGGTGGTGCAAGGCACCAAGGCTGGGCATCTCCAAGTCGCCTAGTTCACTCAAGTGGCCATCCCCGACAGCTCGAGATCCCAAAGTTCGGCTGGGGCGCCTCGTTTTCTCTCCCTGCTGAACTGGAACTGCAGCTCTCGAGCTTTGGCATAATCTTCCGAGCCTCACACGCCGGGGCGAAAAAGAGCTAAGTAATGCTGGGTCCAGATGGAATTCATGGAATGGTACCTTTGGGCCGACGCATGTCATGTCAAATGGACATGGATTCAAACAATCTTCAATAGAAACTTGGATCGGGTGGCGATCCATGCCGTCCTGTCAGTTCGTTTAGCTCGCAACGTGCGAGCTAACCACAGGTGAATCTACACCAGCTTCTGCTCCTCTTCCGGACCAATGGTGACATGTCGAATCCGACCGAGGCTGGGCCCAACGGGAATGCTGAGCTGAGGAAGTGGAGTTCACCACCTGTTCGTAGTGGATTTCATGGTCTTCCTTTCGGGGCCAGGCCATCCACAGATCTGTTGATGGATGAATTGAAAGACGGAAGACGGCCCCTTTCCAACCAACTCCAGATTGTGCCACCCCATTGGTCGTTCTTTCTCGCCAACAAAAACGGCACATGTTCGTTTTCGGCTCCAGGTAGTTTTCACCCATCCCCATCCCCATCTCATCTGAGCATCTTCCGCGGTCGGCTCACAGCTTCCGACCGCTGTCTGACCCCCACCCCCCCGACGATCCATGCCAAACGATCCGGGCCTTCATCCAGCCTCTTCCCCAGGCACACAGTGGCCAGTCGGATCAATTGCACCTCGGCGGCCTGCAGATGGATGATGGGCTCGTGGTGTCCAGTGAGTTGCATGGACGCGAAGGCGTGCGGCGTGTTGGATGAGCGTGTTGGGTATTTTTGCGCTTCATGACCCTCTCATGGATCCCTCTGGATTTGTCTGGGTTGGGAGACCGCATGAGCCATGGGTCCATGGGTCTCCCAAACACATCATGTTTTTCGTCATCAAAGCATATCAAAGAACCATGGCTGTTGGATGGGTGTTGGATGTGTATTGCTCACATACTTAGTACTTAAAAGCTCTAGCAACACGACCCACACGCGACCCATGTCCGACGTTCGACCCACGACCCCACGACCCACGCATGTCGTTTGGGAGGAAACCGCAGGTCACTGCTAGATGACGCCTTGCCACAAGGTTCCTCCCAACAGAGTAGCCATATACCCCACTGCAACCTGCCAATGCCAAAGTGTCCAAACATCTTTGTGTTCCGCCTCTTCCAAAGTCACGTTCCCTTCGGCGAGGCGCCTCCAAGCGACAGCCGAGGGGGAAGCTACGTTGAATGGGAGGGATGTTGAGCTCCTTATTATACAGTGCAGGCAAGCCACAAATGCGTTGACCGATGGCCTTATAATAGGTCGTTATTAAAAGAACAAAAACACAAAACGCATCTCTGACCCTTCAAATGGGTGTTCAACGGATATCAAACATTGGGTATTGGAGACCCGGGATGTGCTGGTGGCCATCTTTCAGGAGTTCCTGCACTTCTTTCCGCTCCCAACACGTCTGGTCCCGACGCCCACCCCCCCACGAGTCGCGCTTGATCACGCTTGCAAAGATGGTTGTAGGTCCTAGGAGCCTTAAGAAAGGAAGTCTGAATTTGTGAGGCCTTGAAACAAAAAGCACTGATTTTGGCCAAATATTAACCCTAAACATGGAGGTGATGAGTGTGTTATGTCTGTATCACAAATCCTCCCGCAATGAACAAATGAGCATTGTATAGCATTGCTACTGTAGTCATTGTTGGCCAGTTTAAGTGCCCTCAATACGTTAGTTACATGAGCTAGGGTCTCTGAACACTCCATTTTCCACAACCAGCTCCAACCAACTGGAACCCATGAGCCTCGAGCATCAACCAGGATTTCTGGAGATGAGTGTAGAAAAAACACACGATCCAATCAGTGCTATCAGTGATGAAGCACCCAAAACCCGGCTTCTTTGGTCCGCGTCGTCCCGCGGACGTACCACGAGTCACGCGTCGATGGAGCACATCCGAGGGGCTCCAGGAAGCGCATGTCCTCCTCTGAGATGCTACCGCCCCGAACCTCCGCAGCCATCGCAAAGCCTAAGCCAGCGATGGCTAAGCGGAGGAACGCGGAGACTTAGACCCCGTTTCGGTGGCGAGGGAAGTTATATAAATTCCATAGACCCATGGAAATTCAGGAGAAACCTGGGTCCCATGCTGAACCAGTCAACAGTAAACTCCTATAAGACCCTACTTGAGAGGAGGGAGACACGAAAGGTAGGACAGCGGGAAGAGAAGAGAACGCGAGAGGCAGGAACAAAAATGCAATGTTCGACATGGTGATTTATCCCCTCGGAGGCGACCTTTCGTAAATATATGTTCATATGCACTTTAAATGTTCAAACATGTGCTCTCGAAATGTTCAAAAAGATTCTTAGGAAAACAAACTTGCCCCATGGCTCAGATCATCGGTGAGCATTGAGTCGGAACATCATAGGATTTGAACTATCCTGAAACCATAAGAGGCTCACGAAGACGCTCCCCAGGAGAGAATTGACGTGCTTCACAAAACGTATCCCCTCGGGGAACACCTTTCGTGATTAGAATTTCATACTCACTCTTTCTAAATGTTCAAGAGGGTTTCAACTATCCTGAAATCATGAGAGGCTCACGAAGACGTTCTCCAGGAGAGAATTGATTTTAGAGGGGGGGAGGGGGGGGGGGTCTGAATTGAGCGATCAATTATTAGACCCGGACGTCCCAACACTTGCTTCGCAAGACAAACTCAAGGTATCCCCTAAAGGGCTACCTTTCGTGATAAGCCTACAGGAATTGATAACTGGTGTGAAATGCTTCATCTGTACAAAGCAGTGGACTTTCACAATTCAAAACTCACAATCTTTTGCACAAGTTTGCTCAGCACCATCCGTGGGTCTTGTGGCATCCTTATGTGCCTTCCCTGCGCAGCTCGGTCCTTTGCTTTTTGGGTTGAGCATGCTTGAACTTAACAAAGTGGTTGAGTCAAACATCCCTTTTACAACCAAAAGAACATAAAAAGAAAAGAACTACAGGGTTTGGGGTCGACGACGCCCTTTCGGAAGCCCCCCGCCCGCCGAGTGGCAGGCTCCAGCCCACCGGTCGTCTGCCTGGAGACCGGTTCAGCGACTGCTTAAGGAGCCAGGAAACGGATGGTGACCTAGGGATAACAAGCATCACCCGAAGCAAGCAACACCATGCAGGTTTACAAACCTGCCAGCTTTCCCTGTGGATCCATCATGATGAACCTACGAAGTAGGCAGTTGGAATCTCTTAAACCTATACTATACACATCTAGCATTTTGAGAGGCTATGTGGATCCCTGAGGAAGAAATCCTGCACCACCTGGGAGAAAACTTAAAAAACAAATACAACACGATATCATATCTATGGTATTTGCCACTGCTTTGGCACCTTACAGCTAGCCACTGAAGTGGGTCTCAGTTTCTCCCGACCCGGTGCGACGACGACTGAACAGGAGAGGCTCCTGTTTAGAGGCCGCCTGGCAGCCATCCCAACCACCTTCTAGGGGGTTGGAGGTTTAGGGAGAGAACTCAAGTCTGCCTTTTTGCCACCCAAAAGACCGGTGTCTTTGGCAACTCGCCCAAATCACAGGACTGGTCCCATGTCCTAAGCAGTTCCCATATCGTCGACCAGAAAGTCGGTGCTCAGCTCCATCGCATCTTTGCTCAAAGTAATATCGACAAAGATCTTGACCTTTTGTGGCCCCGGATCTTCAGTCTGCTGATGGGTGATGGAAAAGTCAAAAAGTGTGGAGTTTGCCATGGACAGTTGGAGTCGAGCTTTCTCCATGTAGCTTTGACAGATGGGTTTCAACGTCTGTTGCTCCTTCGAACTGATGTTCCTGGGGACTGTCCACCGTGCAGTGTAAACTGGTTATGTATACTATATATGTATATACAACTATACACGTAACGTAACATGTATGTAGAGTTGCCACAAACGAACGTCACGCCGGTTATCCACACCCATATATAGTCGGTGCGAGGCCGAACGGTCGTGTCTCACCCGAGGATTCGGACGTCCTCGCCTGGGCCGTCTCCTTCTGGGACCTCCACCACGCGATGGTGCGAGCTGTGTCATTGCTTCGTCTCTGAATTGAACAAAGGTCCGAGGATTAGGTAAAGCAATAGTGATCAGTCTGGATCACGCAAGGCTCTGAATTCTGATAGTACGTCTTGAATCGTCAAGATCGAGTTTCAACGGAACTCTCTGATCAAGTTCGCATCTTCCACCCAAAAGGTTCAGCTTCAGCTCCCTCAGTTTCCCGTCGGAACGTACAGGTTGACCTGTTTGCACCTGGAATTTCAGTGGGGAAATCAATCCCCAGGTCAGTGGGCTAAAACGGCAGGCACCTCTCCATCTCATCCTTGGTCTTCTTCAGCTGCTCTTTGAGGCCCTGCCACGACCGGTTGGTCACTGGTAGAGGGTCCGTTCATGGTTCCAGGTCGGTGGATCTTCGACAATCTTAAATCCCACATAGTCCTCCCCACCAACCTTGGGACCCTCGCAGGTCCACGCTCCCTCTTTGGATGCTTAGGACCAAGTTACGGCATAAAAGTCAACCACTAACAAAAGAACATGGGTGCATGGTTGGGCTATTTATTCTTTGTACGTTCTTCCTTGAAGGGATTCGAGGTACGAAGCATATCCAGCTTCTAAACTCAAAGGAAACTTGGCTCGTTCTTTTGATTCATCGATAATTATTGATATTCATTATGCATTGCCTCGCCTTCAGCTGCTGCTCCAGGTCAGCAAGGGTCTGCTGAGTCTGTGGATCCGCCTCAGTGCCGACGATCAAGCATTTTGACAGGACTGCGGTCGTCCATGGAATTTCCCCGAACGAAACGGTCAAATCCATGTCCTGCCCGTTTCAGACTTTCAGTTTCTATTTAATGAAGTCTTTTTGTTCCAACTGCCAAGACAGGACAGGACAGGTTGACATAGTCACTTTTCTCTGTGCCAAGGAAATCCCACATCTTCATCTATATATTGAACATTAAAGGATATTAAAGGTTATACTCAGTGAACTGCAGCCGCTGCTTACATAGCCTCTGCAGTCCGTGCCAAGTTCAACTTGTAGTCCGTGTGGCTGCGTGAGAATTGCTTAAATGTGAAAATACAGCTCACCGTAGGAGCTGGTAGCGAGCGCCCTCCTCGGATGCCGGCGAGCGACGTCCGCCTTGGCCTGAACCCAGGATGAGCGCTGTTCTACCACGAAGGGAGGGGAAAGACCCACAAAAGACGTGGTCTTTCTCGTTAGATACAATATCACTATATAAATTATCTATTACTTTATAATATGCTAGATAATCTAAATATATCTTAGTTTCCATGTCCAAGGTTTCACTTGACTGCGCCCTTGACCATCTGAATGCTGCCTGGTCCGCTACGGACCCAACTTTCCACGGGGAAGTCGTGTGGATGAGAATTGCCACCAGTGGTAGCTGAGTCTAAGTGAAGGTAGATGAGTCTAAGTGACTAACACAAGAACACCCTGATCCACCATGCAAAATGAAGCAGGCCAACGAACCGATTGTTTTCGCGAGATGCGGAGCGCCAAGAAACTTTCGATGCGGAGCACCATCGGTGCTGGTAGAGACCAGTGGAGCATGTAGTTTGCCCCAGCAAAGATCTGGAGTTCAGTGTGTGTTGCTCCAATACATGTTCAACCCCAAACAAGTTAAGTTTGGATTCGGATGTTAAATATACCATTGTATACCACATGCGCAGTGGATGACCCATCGTCAGGGAAGGATGACACCGGATGGATCAACCGGCTCGATCAGATCTGTCCCAAACGAGGCGAGACGCCCATGGCTCCGCTCGACACCCTCGTGCCTTGAGCCTCTGAAGCTTCTGCTCCAGTTCTGAGGGGGACAACATGGGAGAAACGACAAACCCACGGGGAAACTGGGCAGTGTGGAAAGCCCCACAGAAGGCGACCAAGAAAGTTATACCAGTATCTCCTGATACACTGCACTGCACGCATCCAAGAAGCTTGGAGGCTGCAGGACAAAATCATATACAATCTTGTGAACTCTGATCGCATAGGGTTCAGAGTTGGCCACAGCAAGATTTTCCACTGAAGCTTCTGATTCAGCCAACTATTTGCTGAACAATCTGTGTCAGCCATCTTGTTCCACACATTAAAAATCATATATCTGTGTATGTACCCTTCAGAACTAGTCATTAATGACATCACTCTTCAGCCAAGCACATGGATCGTTAAAATCATTGATCGTAGAGGGCTAACGTCTTCATGTCTTGCATGACTTGATCCGGTCTTGGGATGTCTATTTGCATCTACCCGGCTGGCTCAGCGCGTCCCGGCTGTCTCCGAAGCCGGGCGGTCGGACCTATGGTAGCGCGTCCGATCGCTCCGTTCACAGCGATGCCAGACCTCTTCCAAATCCTTCAGACACCGAGTTCTTCCAGTGCCTTTCAACGCGTCCCAACCGCGTCGAGGACGAGCCTTGAACATCCCCAAGGACCGGGCCTTGGTCGATTCGGAACCGACCGCGGACTCGCGGAAGGGATACGAAGGAAGCGGACGGGGGTTGGGGAGGGAATGGGGATTCTGTTCTTGTTTTCATGGTCCTTTTTCCTTTTTCTTCAGGCGACTCCTAACCCGGATCTTTTTCTAACATACAGGTCACAGCCAAACTTTCCACCTGTTTCTGGTTTGGTGCGGAAACCAATTGCCCAAACAGGATCAAACAGGCTATAAGTTATAAGATGTTATAAGATGATATAACATGTTTCTCCACTGACTGGGTATGTTCAGGTGAATGACTTTTTTTTCCACTTTCAGTTATCATCCATTCCAAACCTATCGGCACCACGGACAAGTGGTTCCGGCCACGACATGCGAGCGGAGTCTGGACTGTCCATCTGCAGACGTGCGGCAAAGAACGGATGGGTTCTTGGCCCCTAGGAGCGTCCTTGCTCCTGGTAGTAAGGCCAGGAGCCCCTAGTAGCGTCCATAGATCCTTTTCAAACTATCCTTTTTCTGGATGGAAAACGCGTATCAAAAGGGTAAAATTCGGACTTGTCCATTCTCTTTCTTGATTGAAAGGTGGACCAAAAAGAACGAGTGGTTCTTTTTGTGGCGGCCGAGTGTCGATTCTTGATTCGATGGGGCAAATGTTGTTGTTTTCCTGTGCTCATCATTTCTGGGTACCAGCTCCACTAAATCCACAGTATCGTGAACCCAATAGACCATAGTACCCCCTAGCAAAACCCGTTCGGTACACTTTCATGACACTATTCCCCACATTTCGCCACTGAAACCAGAGCTCACTTTGGTGAATCGAACATCTTTGAAACAGAGTAGGCTTTTCAGGCCAGTTGGCACCCAGGTTTCACAATTCGACAATAGCGAACCATTCAATCTATGCCATTCTTCTCTGCAATCCAAACCTTCCTTAGTGCAAACATGCCAAGTTGGAGAGATGAACACCTATATGTGGTGGTTCTTTTCCATGGGTTTGAACACAATTGCGTTCATCGTGTGTCCTGTCCTCACCGATTTTCCTATGCCCCACCAATGGACCACCCCGGCATGAGACTCGACACACCTCACACCTCGGACTGGGGGCCCCGCCAAAGAAGGACCTCGGATCACCAAGCGACGCATCGGTCCGATCACGTTCCGGTTCCGGTTCGAAGGTGTTGTTCCCACAAAACCCAAAACAAACACACTTGAGAAGAGTGCTCCATGGAGCTGAGCTGAAGCGGAGTTGTGTGCATTAGCTCTTTATTGCATTAGCCCTTTAGTGCACTAGACGATTACTTCACATTTCACATTGGCATTTCCAGTGGTTGGGGGGTCTGCCTTGAACACATTACACACCTTTTGCAGCAAAGCGGGGCTCCAATCCATGCAAAATTGCAGGAGCGCACAGGAGATCAAACAACAGCATCCACTGGACCAGTCTAGGATCATCAACGCTTGGTAGTTGGCTGGGGTTGTACTAACTTAAGAACATACAACACTGCACCGGGGACTACATATTTCAGGTGGATGAAAACGTGTCTTCTTTACCAGACTTTGAAACATCTATGTTGATCAGCCGCGGTCGAATTAAACAATTAAACGTCCATTTCGCCTGGCCAGAGTTGGGTGGACGGAGCACCTTCTTATAGGTCTATATAATGACTTTTAAGCACAGGGAGTCAAAATTGGCCAGGCACATTTTAAAATATGGGAGGGGACGGGGGAGTCGACCGATTCCTGCCAATTCCACATCTGTCCAGCTTGGGTTGGAGGAGTGCCTTTCAATTTCAACCTCACCAGGCCAAAAACAATAGTATTTAACATGCTCTTTGCACTGCTGGAAGCACCGATTTCTTTGAGCAACGCTACCACTAAACTACAAACATATATGGGTAACAATTTGAGTTGCTTTTTAATTATACCCACCCACTAGAAACACCATGAATCCTGCCCCTCACTAGCGCCACGCCGCATTTACAAACGCATGAGCACCATCTGGATTTGTTGTCACTTTTTGATACGCGTTGTAATACAGTAGGTGGAAGGGACTACTTTGGATGGGAATATGGAGTTCTCAGAACCTCCCCGCCATGGTCCCGGCAGCGCTGCATTTGCATTTAAAACATGTGTTCCATATATCGGGTGAGAATACCCTTTTCCAACCACATGCTGAGAGCTATGCTGGATGCTTGGGGCTTATGGATTTCTCTGACATCCCAAACAAAGGTTCATCATGTATGTATGGTCTACTTTATATAGACTTTTACCGTGAGAAGGTTGGCTGGATGTTTGGTCCAAGAAGCATCCCGCTGGGTCTCCTGAGGCCTCGTAAGCTTTGCCTCTGCCACGTTGCCCTGAGCGTTCCCGCCGCTGAGCTCAAAGCAGTAGAGTCCATGTAGCCAAGGCGAAGCGCGGCATGAGAGGAAAGTCAATGGCTCAAGTAATCATGAATCAACACCCATCATGGGGTCCGGTCCAGACCTAAAACAAATCAATACAAATCAACTCCTTTGCATCGATGGAGGAGGGCACCTGGCCTCTCCTTGGATTCAAAAAATGCTTGGTCCGATTCTTCCACTTAGGGGATCTTTCTCCATTGACCACCTTCTGACCCAAAACCTTCAGGTCAGCGACGCTGCTCCGCGACAGGTCTCTGAGCCACGAGCTCCGGCGGAGCTTTGGGTTTGTTTATTGAAGCCGAGGAGAAAGGCATCACAGTTGGGTGCGCAACAAAAACTGAACAGTTGGGAGCATCGACCTGAACACAACGCAAAGTTCTCTGCATGTGGAACATGACAGTGCACCAGGCATAAAACAAGAATGACCATTCCCACCTATAACCCTATAACATGAATGTGGTGTATGACGACGTCATGCCGAGCTTGGGAGGCCCACATGGGAAAAGGGCGCATTTCCACAAAGGAGTGACTAGATTTGGTTGCTCACACCGATTTGCTTTCGACGTTGTTGCGTGAGAAACGTCGTTCCCCAAACAGCTGTGGGCGATCCCCGCACTGGGCGATCAAACGTTCTTCCGTTCTTCACCTTTGATTTGAGTGAGGAACCAGGAATAAATACAATCTTAACAACAAGCAATCTTCCCCAGCTTCTTGAGATAAGAAGCATCTTCCCCAAGTTCGGGCATTTACCCATGGTTCGAGAAAAACACACATCACCCAATCCGTCATCTTCATCACACGCGACCGCTGCGGCGGACTTTTTGGTGCTCCTATTCTCTCGTACCACAGAGGAGACCTGGTGCGGTGTGGACTACGAAAGGGATGCCACCGCTTCTTGGGAAATGGCTTGCCAGCTCGCAGGCGAGGGAGTAAGGGAACGCAGTGAGAAAAAATACAGAAGGGGGGGTGGGGGGGGGGGGGATGTGAAAGTTTTGACTTTGCAAGGGTTTGAAGGGTTCTATATGGATTTCGCAGAGTGAAGGGCAATTTGATGTGATAACAACAGTATACAGCAAAGCAACGCATGTTCTTGCCGCAGACCTTTTCTTGACAGACGCAGACGGTTTATACTGTCCTCGCAATTTTAGCTGCCACTTCTTCACGATGGACTTCTTCATGTTCTTCTTCAGAATGGGGGACTTGGCGCAGGCATAGGCCTTGGAAGATTTCTTGGTTTTGGCGCTGTACTTGTTCAAGTAGAGAGCTTTCTTACAATCAATGGCGTCATTGTGCTCCTTGATGAAATGCAAGACCTTGAACACATGCCGAAGAGGTCTGGTTTCATTCAGCAAGCGGGCATAGTTCCGAAACGAGCTGAACACCTGTTCTGCAGCGGACATGTTGACACCCTTGAAGCGCTTTGCAAGGCGACGCACATGCAAGGGATTGCATGGGCAACTCTTCTTATGCTTCTGGGCGTGAAACGTGTCCACGCCCCAATACTTGATCTGCTTCAAGGTGGAGTCATGCGCAGCCGATGGGACGAAGGCACAGGCTCTGTCCAAGATGAAAGCGTTCAGGTTTTTGTAGTAGGGCAAGGCTTTGGCAAGAGTCTCACGCACAACAGCATTGTCCTCAGGCTTGTCCATGCAAGTCACAGCCAGAATGCGCAAATTCTTTGGGTTGACAAGCATGAAGCAGCCATTGCCATAAGGCTTGGCTGCACCATTTTTTCGAGGTCGACCTTTGTGCTTTGGAGGCTCACCGCATGCGCACTTGACATGCACCTTGACATGGCCACCCCCCACAATCTCATTCACTTGAGCTCGTCGATGCTTGGAAGGAGGAAAGACTTGATCATGGAGATGCTCATCAGAGGCACGCAAAGAATCAGGTGTCAATTCCTCACCAATGATGATCTCTTTGTGCAAGTCCAAGACATAAAGTTCCTGCAAGACAAGCCAGTACATGAGGGCGTCAGCATGCTGAACACGGAACCAATCTGAATTCAAAGGGTGGCCAAAGACTGATTCATACACACTTTCAGCAGCACGAGCTGGCACGTAAGCACGAAACTCAAGGGCGGCATGGAATTTCAAGAGAAACCAAGCTTGGAATTGAGGAACAGCACATCATGAACATCCTGGGGCGCCGCCGTGTTGATCTTCTTGCCGTGCTCAATGAAGAAGTTAGGGCCAAAGGTTGTCCGGCAAGCATCTTCGTTGCAGCGCATGGTTCGCACTGTGGTTTAACCATAGCCTTGATGTCACGGGCTTTGGACAAAGAACGATGACCACAATGACAAGCTTTCACATGAGTACTGTACACATTCTTTGAGAGAACCCCGGCGCCACCAAGAACATCTTTCTGAAATGGAAGAGCTGCGCGCAAGACCTGACACTTGTAGAAGGTGAAGTTCGAGTCGTCCACCATAGATCTCAAGCAAGACAAGGAGACCTGGGCAACCGCAGTGTCGTCGATGATCTGGACGAAGCCCTCCCGCATGGACAAGGCAAAGAAATGCTTTTTCGCTGCATCATGCACAATGTACTTGCCATCCTGCACAAAGGGCAAATCATAGTGACATAGCTGAACACCAAAGGGACGCAATAGCGTGTTCCCAAGGAAATGGTGAAGGGACCATCAGTGTCACACACAACTGACAAGCCAAGATTTTGAAGAGAAACGACGAGGCAAGCTTCCTTGAACCCAGCGCCACCCACATGTTCCAGAGGAGCATCCTCGTCAGGAGCTTCACCAACACGAGGCATAAGGTCATCATCCTCAGAAAGACGAAGGCCAGGTAGATTGTCTGGGTTCTGAACAGGACTGCGCTGCACACAGGGGCGTTTGGCCGGAGATGGGGAGTCCAACAAAATAGTCCCGGAAAGTGGGCGGAGGTTCTTGAAGACAAACTTCTCCTGCTTCACTTTGGGCGACGATATCTCCCAATTGGTCCAGCCTGCACTTGCACGGTCGTGGTCAACGTCGACCGGATCTTGCTCTGTTTCACGCGCCAAGAAGGCATGGCCGTCCTTTTACCTTGGAGACAGAGAAATTGCAATGACGCATTGACATAAAGAAAGTGTCTTTTTCAAGCAGTGTAAGCACATGAAAATGAAACATGCATATAGACGTACATCACTGCAAAGGAACTCATCAGCTTCCATCTTGACAAATGGAATGCTGTGCATTTGTGCCTCTCTTGTCTCACGATCTGCCTGCTGCCTTTCTGCTTGACGTTGGACATCTCCTACACGCATAGCTTCTTGCAACCATGCCTCAGTAAAGGTCAGGAAAGAATACTGTATACAGAAGTTATCAGTCATTTTGAGAGAGAAGGCGGACTAGATGCAACAATTTAACACATATACAAAGATTTTGTGTTGCTAGGGGAAATAGACATAAGTGATATGGTTACGTCGAGCGACAGACTCCCATGCAGTATGCTGGTCATAGTCAAGAGGAGGTGGACCACCTTGCTTGTAATTCTGCAAAGTTGGCTTGGAGGAATCCAAGATGATGTCTGATTTGTTCCATCGAATTCGATCCGCTGGGATTGCTTGCTCAGAGGGCAGACGGTAGGTGACGTGCTTGTTGCCAACGACCACAACTGCACTGCGCTTGAGGATGGCCATAGCATCTGTCCTAGACATAGTCCCCAGGGCAGGCCGGATCATCAGGAAAAAGTCATCGTGAGCTACAACCAGTGCTTCCTCAGTCTTGTTGTCCTCGGGTTCGGCATCAGGGTTGAAAGCATTGTCCAGCACAATGCGAAGCTGATGGCGAACAAATTTGGCGCTTGTCCACCGAGCACGTGTCATAGACTCATCATCTCCAACATCAGTGAAAGCCTTCAGCTTCTTGGCCTCTTCATCGCCGATGCTGCCGTCATCGTAGAGAGCTGGGACACACTTAGTGAAGGGGATGGCTTTGAAGAAGTCCAAATCCGCGGTCGTACGGAAAGTACCGCTACCTCCATGAAACCGAGAGAACATCATGGCAATGATTCTTCCCAACGGAGTTTTGCCTTTGCCTGCTACACCAAGAAGCCACAGTGCGTGATCTCGAAGGGAAGGTACTATTTTTCCATAATTTCACGGATCTCGGGCTCCACATGACTTCAAGGAACTTTATGTCTTGGACTTGCACAAAGAGATCATCATTGGTGAGGAATTGACACCTGATTCTTTGCGTGCCTATGATGAGCATCTCCATGATCAAGTCTTTCCTCCTTCCAAGCATCGACGAGCTCAAGTGAATGAGATCGTGGGGGATGGCCATGTCAAGGTGCATGTCAAGTGCGCATGCGGTGAGCCTCCAAAGCACAAAGGTCGACCTCGAAAAAATGGTGCAGCCAAGCCTTATGGCAATGGCTGGTTCATGCTTGTCAACCCAAGAATTTGCGCATTCTGGCTGTGACTTGCATGGACAAGCCTGAGGACAATGCTGTTGTGCGTGAGACTCTTGCCAAAGCCTTGCCCTACTACAAAAACCTGAGCGCTTTCATCTTGGACAGAGCCTGTGCCTTCGTCCCATCGGCTGCGCATGACTCCACCTTGAAGCAGATCAAGTATTGGGGCGTGGACACGTTTCACGCCCAGAAGCATAAGAAGAGTTGCCCATGCAATCCCTTGCATGTGCGTCGCCTTGCAAAGCGCTTCAAGGGTGTCAACATGTCCGCTGCAGAACAGGTGTTCAGCTGGTTTCGGAACTATGCCCGCTTGCTGAATGAAACCAGACCTCTTCGGCATGTGTTCAAGGTCTTGCATTTCATCAAGGAGCACAATGACGCCATTGATTGTAAGAAAGCTCTCTACTTGAACAAGTACAGCGCCAAAACCAAGAAATCTTCCAAGGCCTATGCCTGCGCCAAGTCCCCCATTCTGAAGAAGAACATGAAGAAGTCCATCGTGAAGAAGTAGCAGCTAAAATTGCGAGGACAGTATAAACCGTCTGCGTCTGTCAAGAAAAGGTCTGCGGCAAGAACATGCGCTGCTTTGCTGTATACTGTTGCTATCACATCAAATTGCCCTTCACTCTGCGAAATCCATATAGAACCCTTCAAAACCTTGCAAAATCAAAACTTTCACATCCCCCCCCCTCACCCCCCGCTCTCAAAAAATAAGGGATATCAGGAAGTCCGGATGAAATTCATCTTCAACATTTGTACATATTTGTACTATATTAAATATATATATATATATTATATTACTTTATACCATCAAATCAACACTAAATTGTCACTCAGGTCTTCTCAGCTTCTATACTTGCAACATCTTGTACAACCAGCCATGTCTTGGCAGTGGGTCAACGCCCAAACTTAATGAAAGGACCCGGAGCATCGGAGCATCGGGTCAGCGAACCATCCCCGACCAGGTCCCCGCACCAAGGAAGTGGATACATCGAACTGGGCTTTGCAGAACGACTTCACCTGGCTACATCGACAGGGCGCGCGAAGCGATACTCACGTGGTGGGGTTGCTTGGTGATACTCCGTGAAAGACACACACGCACAGTGACCGTCGAAGCCAAACCAACTCGCCGGATTTGATGGGCGAAGGTGCATCTTGTGATTGATACTGATCCAGAAGTTCGTCCAAATCAAACACTCCCTGAAAACTTGGAGCCCCCCTCGAGTGCTTCCACAAATTAGATGACCGGTGTTCTGTCGTGATTCTCCTTTTCAAGGTCTCCCTAAACCGCCGCTCCGTTTTCGTTCCGCAGCTGCGTCGTAGCTCTCCTCTGTGCATGTCACTTGTCACCTCTTCTCTTCCTTTGGACTCCAATGGACGGGCTCCGTCCCACGCCGAACCGCCCATAGTGGATTGAGAGTAGATGACACAATCTCCAAAAAGGTGATTTACATTGATTTACTGCGTTTACTGTATATCGATCCCCATCTGAAAGACATCTTGGGGGTTGTACCATCTGTGAAATCAAGGACTGAACAATTGTGTACCCACCTCGCTCACCGAACAGTGACCTTTCCGGCGCCCCCAATGCCTTGGGCGGCAGCAAACCGAAGTCCAGCTCGTAGCGATAACGATAGGCCTGACCGTGTAGCGATAACGGTGTTTCGCTGCGTCTTCCGCTGCGGCAGGAAGAGACTTGCAGGTGTCTACTGTACATGTCATTCATGGGTTATAGATGGTGATAAATGGATTTTCATGTACAGACTGTACACGTGAAATTTGACTGGCGAAATAGACTGAAGAACCCAGTGACCCAGCTTCATGACCCAATCAAAAGGTCCATGCTTTGCTGTATGGAGGCCCAATGCAGGACTGCAGTCCCATGGTTGTTTCGGGCACGTTTCATCGTCCCTTCAAGGCCCCTGCCCGAATGAGCTGCTGAACGTGACCACGCCTCAGGTTGTGACCGTTGACTCTCCCTGTGACTGGCAGTCAAAAAGGTGTAAACAGCCGGGTGAATGTTAAGGTCCATGTTGTTGGGGTTCTCAGGTCGGCAGGTCGTATTCTTGCTACCTGACATGTTCACACCCAAGGCAACCAATGGACCGTGGCCAAAATCTAAACACATCTTGAGCTAACTGAGGAACATACTTTAAACATAACGCTTCTCATTGAGCACAGTTGAACACCCATTCCAGGTGGAACAAATGCACACCCCCAAAATGACCGTCTTCTTTTTCGAGATTCCCCCCAGCCCAGCGCCGAGATCGATGTGCCCATATACCCATCATATACCTCCGTTGGTTTCCTTGGCTCACGGGGCGTTCTTTTCACGGCCTTCAGGCGGCGAAGTTCGGAGTCTTGTGGACCTGGTGTTTGGTTCTGTTTCACGTGGACCTGGAGGAAAGCTTCTTTTGGGGAAGGTTTAGGATGGGGGGTGGACTCCGGGTGGACCTGCAGAATCACCTGGTAGGTGCATCGATTGATATAGTTCTCGAAGTTTGCAGGTTCGGACACACTAATATTTTAAATAAAGTTACTAGTAGCTTCTTGTTACTAGTAAGGCACTTGTTACTAGAAGCGATGCACTTGTTCCTAGTGATCGCCAAGTAGCTGCGTGGGTGTCAAAGGCTCCTTCGCATCTAGCTCCTCACTGGTCGCACACCGCAGCACTTGTCGTCGCAGCATGTCGCAGCTGGTTTTATCTCTGCGTTATTTTTAAACGTGTTGGATTTGTGATACCGATATGCTGACAGCTTCCACCTCCCACAGCAAAACCCAAAGGTTTTGATCCTCCGAACCTCCAAAGTTCCATGAATTTGAGCAACCTTCTGTGATGTCACTGTTTATATATGTTTTGATAAATGTCTATAACAGTATGAACCCTTTAATCTTTCAACAACAGAAACAACCTCAGCTCATTTGGAGTTGAGATCTGGTTGACCAATCCCAACTTCGTCCCGCTCCTGCATCCGTTCAAAGACCCTGCGCATGGCCTCGCGCCCGGAGGGGAATCCTGTCCAGCGAGACTTGACGAATGGAGCACCGCTGTTCGCCTGGGTAGGTTGCTATACCTTGGGCTGTGACCCCCAACAACAGTGTGGAAAGCTGAAGCGCAAGCTGAAGGGCCTACAATTAGTGGATCTAACATGCATAATGACTGTTGGACTGTTGTTGGGGTATGTGATAATTTCAATTGATAGTGGATTGAGAGCACTTGGGGTAATGCATGTTGGACTGTTGCTGGAGAGCACTGGCACCCCAAGATATCCTTTATATAGGTCCAAGCAAAAAGAACAACATTTTGCAGATTGTGCCATTCTGAAACCATTGTATACAATCGCTTCGATTTGCTTAAGGAACCTGGAAAAATACAGCATATTCACCAAACGGAGATTTAACCATAGGGGAAATAAACAATCACCTTAAGCAAAACCATGATCACAGTGGCAAAATACCGGTGGCCTCTAGGCCCCTTTTGGGTTATATAACCGAGATGTTTCGATCGAAAGGTCTTGGCTCAGAGAGGCCTTTTTTTTAGCGCCTATTTGAAGCGATATATAGGGATGCATACTTTAAAATGTTAATACATCATGATACATCATACGAGTACCTGAAATCTCAAGCGCATCATTCAAAACACCCTAATCCCCAGCACCAAACGTGACTTCGAATGACGCCCACAAACTTGAACATGAGATGATCTGATCTGGGATCGTGTTAATTAGTCTGGTGTGAGAATGCTCACCCCATAAAGTTGCGCATGGTATCCCAATGGTCTTGGTCCGACCGACATGCCTCCACTGACCCATTTGAGTCCGGCGTTTTGCCACTTACTCTGCAATCAACACGGTTGGAGTCGCCCACCATCCCGACTCCACCCCAACCAACAAAAACATCAAATTAAACTGGCACCTTTCAAAGGATCACCAATGGAAAACTCCTACACTACGAGCGGCCGCCCTAAGTCACATCAGGCCCCTGAAAGTTGCATCACTGCATGGCCACACCGCTTTCAAAGAGTCACATCTATTTTTTTCAAAGTTGCATCAGATCGACGTAAGCCACAGCTAGCCAGGAATGTTTCCCAAATAGAGTTACTCATCATTCACATCCTACAGCTACCTTGCAAAACAGGCCCTCTGCAATGCACACCCCTTTGCAGGTCTAAAATCCCCGTTGCTTGGACGGGTGACCCTGGCACCCCAGACTTTATAAGAAATCCTCGGTAAAAGCAACACCTTGGGAGTTATAAAATGGGTGGTCCTAGGTCCAGCAAGATACGCTGATTCTTTATATAATCCTGTGGCTCAAGCATACTTTTGGCAGCGTGAAAGGCAAAGAATTCCGCGGGGGTTCCCCGGCAATGGCAGCACTCTATACTTATAAATTCCCGGCGCTGACGTCTCCCAAGTGCAAAAAATATCAAAGATATATCTAGGTGGGCGAGCCGACTTTTTGGTGGGCGAGCCGTTTGTTTGCGAGGCCCCCCCATAGTTTTGGTGATTGGGTTTTGGATCATTTTGGCGAGCCAATGTGCTTGGCCGACGGGACTGGGTAGCTGAAGGATAATCTAACACGTAACCCTCTCCCGAGCAAATTTTCATGGAATTGGGCTGGTGGCTTTTTCGCACACATATTTGTTATTGCCGCATTAATTCGTGCAACGAGGCGTGGCGGTGGGCGAACCAGCTAGTGTTTGCCAGGAGGGGTCAGTGGATATCAAAACTGACAGTAGAATCCCTTTCTTTCTTTGCAGATCTCAGTGTTCCAGTGTTCCACCTTGCAGGTGAGAACCACCTTGCAGGTGAGAACACCCGCTTGCGCAACGAGGTGTGATGATTTATGGTATCCTGGTTCTGCTGACAGCCGCTGAGTCCGCATCTAGTCTTTTTCCATCGACTATCGATGTCTTGATCTAGGCTGTTGTTTCCGCAAACAAGCCCTTTCCTAAAACGTTGGTGTTGACGGTCGCCAACATTATGCCAAAATGGCTTCACGTTGGACAGCTCTAAGATCAGCTATATATATGGCTATGAAATCCTGTAAGTGAAAGGGCTGTGAGAAAGACTTAAATCTTTATGTTTTGCTGTGGTTTCACTCTTTATGAAATCCTGTTTTGAAAGCTGCTTTTCCATGCAACCTTTATGAAATCCTGTCGCTCTGGGTAAATATTGGAGCCAACCGGGCAGATCAACATTTATATAAAACGACCTCCACCCTCAGGAAAAAATAGTGCCCTAACAGACGGGGATGTCTAAATAGATCAATTGGTCTACTATGGCCATCTTTCAGGGTACATCCGCCCCCTGTGCAGCTCCACACCATCGACCTGGCATAACCGCTTGGCACCGCCGCCTTGCGACGTGTTGCCCGCATCCTCCGGCGTCGGCCTCGGGCGAAGCGGCCACGAGGCCGGGCGAGGAATTCAATGACCAGGACCGGACCTCAGGAAGTCTAGAGCAAAGATTTACAAGGGTCGGTTTTTGGGGGGACCCGGTTTAGGATGTGACCAGGGCCACCGAAAAAAACACCTTCCCCCCATCCTCCCATCCTCCCTTCGACTCGTTTCTCGCGCGTCGTTTGGGCCCCCCGCGGTTCCGGGTGCGGAGGCAGCTGTTCCGCCAGGTCTAGGGCATCCAGCTCAACCAGGCACCAAGCAGCCTGGCGCTCCACTCGGTAAGCTTCGGTTCCGCTCGGTCAACGTCAAAAAACGCGTCGTTTGACCGAAGAACGCGTCCTTCTATTTTCGCGGCCAAGGTTTATGGTGGTGGCAGAGGTATTTGTGTATTTACGTATTAGATCGTATTAATAGATTTAGCTTATCTTATTGTTTCATACACCAACCCTTGGGCCCACCAACCGTACCACCCACCTCGAATTAATATTCTATTTTGAGGTGGTTGGAGATATCCGCATCATAATATTTCTAGACTCTCAGGGTCTGACAAATAATTTCAATAATTTCATTGAACAATATATTTAAAAAAACAACAACAAACAACATAGATCCGACATGAGACCATCTAGGTGGGACCCGCCCCCCATAAGTTGACCAAAGTTGACTCAGCTCGGATTACCACGGACAGTGTCATAATAGGTAGTTGAGTAGTCAACCACCCTTCAACTTATTATTGGGGCTGCTGCTGCTTGCTATAGTCCCACCGTCCCGGCTCTACCTGGCTAACATGAGCCCCTAAGCCGCTGATGTTTGTTTATGCTGGTTCTATCTGGCTATTTTTAACCAAATCTTCAAAAACCCAGTGGATTTGCACATTGTTTCCAATCTCTTTTTCTCTTCCACTTTATCCTTGCTGTTTGTTCTGTCCTTTTCCACCTTTTTCTCCTGTTGGCGCCATTTAATGGGTGGCTGTGTAGTCACCCACCCCCTCAAAATAACTTCATTATGGAGGTTGTGTACTCTGTCCTTTTCCACCTAGTTTCCTGTGATTGAAGCCCATTTAATGGGTGGTTGGGTAGTCACCACCCTCTCAAATCATTTAGTTAAATTGGATTTGGTGGCCATGTTCCTTTTCTTCCACCTTTCTCCCTGTTTCCAACTATCTGTACATGTATTTGTTTGGCAAAATCCTTTCCTTTTCCACCATTTCCTCCTATTGAGATGGCAGCTGTCCTCGACTCGCACACATTCTCTACCTGTGGACTTGGATTCGCCTTCCAAAGCATTGGACCAAGTGTGCCTCGCCATTTTTATGAAACAGCTTTCTTTCTAGCTTTGATCTAGCAGTAAACCCACAAAGCATTGTGCCCGTGCCCAAAGGCTGTAACTCTGAGGTGCTTCTTTGTCTTCGCTGCTGCTCTGTCAGCCAAACAGCCGACATCCTGGTGGCGTGAGACTGGACAGAAGCTCGTCTTGGGCACTAAATTACTTCTAAATACTAGTAACAAGTGCCACGCTAGTAGTAACAGGTGCCTTACTAGTAGTAACAAGAAGCTATTAATCTATTTTAGTCTAATTTTAATAAGTTACAAAACTATTTCTAAATAATGTTGTACAGGTGGGAGGTCATAGACTCAAAATTATTTAGACATAATATCTATCATATGGCAATTATTTTGCACCACCTAGACTGTTTTAGTGAAATTATTTTGGTACCACCACCTACATGGCTTGCCAAATAATACTTTTAGTTAAGAATTAGTTCACTAAGTGACTCCCACCTCCAAATAATTTCCTAAGGTAAGACGTATATATATATATATATATACATTGTTTCTTCGAGGGATGGCTGCAGTTAGAAATATCGTTCATGCAGTGCACGCATTTACAGTAATGCACCAACACGGTCCAATGACACCCATTGGGAGCTGTGATCTCCAGAGGTGTTGCTGCATGTTGTTGCATTACTTTTATAGCAGGACCGTGTAGCCGTGATCTCCGGCATGGTCGGCGTTACTTTTATAGGTCAATATGTCTCTAATATGTCTCTAATATTAGAGACCAAATATGTCTCTAATAATCTCGTCTCTAATATGAGGTCCAAGATCTCATTTTGCTGGACTTACTGTAATTATACAAAAACACTACTCAATGATACTCAATGAGGTAAAGGACCATGTTGTGCTGGGTCTTTGGATGTCTTTGGTATTTAAGCCACTGTCATCAAAACATATACATGCTCATGCTCATGCTGCTGGCATGCCCAACTATTGTTGCCCAGCCCTCAAGTGACTAGGAGATTACTGAGCCGGCACCCCCCCCGCTTTGGTTGGTCACCACTCTTCAGGTCTGCACCGGACACCCACACGCCCAAGTCTTCGCGTGCCTGGGTCAAGGGGTGCACGGGAAAGGTCTCAAGTTTGTTGAAGAACCGATAGAAGAGCAGCTCCTGGAGAGGTGAAGACCAAAGGGATGTTCCCTATACACCACCACCAGCTTACTGCCATTCAGGACTTAGGGTGTGGATGGGTGTGCTGCAACTAAAACTCTGTTGTGGATAAAACACAGGCAAGAGCAACACATTGTAAAACCAAAGGGGTTGATACATGTCGGGACACCAGTAGCATGTTTCTTCAATGGTGATGTCTTGAAACTTGAAAAACAATAACATCCAGCACTGGGGGCACCACTGAAGCTAGAGTTCTGCTATGTGTGTGGTCATCCACTCAAACAGACTCACCAAAAGCATATATAACTATATAAATATTGCTATATTTACATTGGCAATAACATAATACATAAATATAAATACATATAACTATAAATGAATAAATACTATATATTATAATATTCCAGCCTTTTGGTTCTCAAAAACATACAGTACCATTGCCGGTCTGGTTTGTTGGGTCCTGCCCAGATCCACGCAGTTCGATCACAACGCAACCCTTCTCTGTGTGTGAAGCAGCTGCCCTAGCTCTAAAAAAGAACGTCAGGATTCTTCGAGCTGCCAACAAGGCCAAACGTGTCTCTAAACACAGGCCGCCCGTCCTCCCATGTCCTTCCACTCCAATGGTGAAATCCCAATCAACACCTGATGTTCTATCTTCAATATATGGATTTCAAATGGATTCTATAGACATTTTCAGTATGGATTTCAGAGACCAGCAGCCAAAACTACTCAGCTTTTTCCGGTGATCACCACTGCCTTCCCCCCGCCGGCTCCGCGCCACAAGCGGAGTTGCCATGCGGGACATTTTCCACAAAAAACGTGTCAAGGTAGGCAAAGATGGCTGGCTTGAGTAGAAGTGGCCGGTTCAAACATCTACACAAGGCACCACATAACTATGTGTGAGACACCACTGCCATCTTTGCACTCAGTGACCCCTATAACAACAAGGAAAACTGGTACAGAAGGGAGAGAGCAGGGCTCCACTGGGGAAAACATGGGAAACATTGTTCGAGTTCGAGATTAAAGGCACAAGTAGTCTAGTTGACATGCAACCTCTCAATGGAAACCAGGATTGAGCGACTCGGTGTGCATGTCGCGGGGTTGAGAAACAACAACAACATCAATCATCAATCATTGAAAACTCAAGGGATTGTTGAATGTTGCAGCCAGCATTCTGGAAATTGATGATCATTTCTGAACCTTCAGCAGCTTGGAGTCTTCAGCGAGACTTTCTACAGTGATGTAATCATATTTTTAGCAGTGCCATTCCACCCCGTGGCTCCGAAAACACCCCTAGGGCCATGGGGTTCGGGGCACTCCCGTGGTCGCTCCTTGTTTCTCCTTGTTTCCATGGAGAAAAAATATGGATCCTCCCCGGGGCTCCGAATATCGCTCCCTCCGAAAGCGGCCAAAGCGAGCTAGAGCCAACCCTGTAGATTTCACCTGGGTCCGTTCAATTAGGACCCTCCAACCCATGGAATTCTGATGTCATGTCTTAGCCGAATCGCTCCCTCCTGAGCGGAAAAACGGCTCACAAAGCCCACACTTCATCCGAGACCTGCCCCGTCAGAAGATGGGTCTCTTCATCGCTGATACACAGCACCTTTGAGGGATCGACCAGCGTCTGGGAGCAGCGAGCCACCTCGGCGTCGGTTGGAGCGTCGGTTGGTTTGGTATCAAAAGGGAGACCTCATGGCCCTGGCTGGGTAGACTGGCCTGGTTTCCTTCTTCCACGGGGTCGGAACGCCTAGGAGAAGAAGCGCGGTGTAAACTGCCGTGGACGGGGTGATGTTGACTGTTGACCCTGGGTCCAGTCCTGTCCTTATGTCGATTTGCCCTAAGCACTTCTCCCATGCCGGTAACACCGATCAAATTATATATATATAATATATATATATATATATCGATGAAAGGTCATTTGCTCATTTTCCCAACAGCTTCAGGAAAACACGTGCCAACCAACCAACCAACCAACCCACCCACCCACCAACGAACCATTTCCACGCACCGGCATCCCCTCGCATCCCCTCACTCGCAAGCAAGCTGCTGTCTCCTCCCACTGTGGCCCATGATGCGGGAAGATCGCTTCCTCCACAAGGCTCAGACCCTCCTGAGCAGTGCAGCAGCGCAGCGCAGGTGGTGGGTTACCCAACTGTTCACGTCCGCTTCGGGACGTCTCCGCCACTAGGACCCGTGGTCATCAAGGATGGTTGCATATATGAAACAGGGTTTGGAGACGTGGTCCCTCATGACCAAGTGTTCTGGAACAAGAACCTAAGTGTTTTGGACAAGAACCTGGACGTTGTTCTTCAAGTGTTCTGGACACAGAAAGATTGTAATAAAGGACCATAGTGTTGAGAAAGGACGCAAAAATCGTCACCCTCTGACACAGGGGTCGGCATCATTCTGACAGTCCAGTCTCATGGGTAACCCGGTCTCATTCCTCTATGTGTTCGCGTCGGTCTGATCCCATGGGTAACCTGTTCCGACGAGACGTGCCCAGCATCTGGGACACGTCCGGACGGTCTGTCCCACCGAGCATCTAACGTCTCCTGCGCCGCGTCGCCAGGGACCACGGTGGGATCATCCCAACCCTTCCAGTAGGCCGTGTCGCAAGTCTTTCCTGCTAAGATGGCACCGGCCGAGATGCCCACGTACCTGATGCCCAGTGGATTTCGCGCAGGAAGGAAAAGGGAGGTCGAAGCAAAGGTTTACTGGAGACAGGAGGGCACAGCATGTGGTGATAGAGGATGGATGGACTATTCCCAAGTGTCCCTGTCCAAGTCAAAGAAAAGTGACTAATGAAACCATTTGATGGACTTCTGCATGGAGCCCTTTTTGGCTTCAATAGTATACGTAGTATCCTTGAACTCTTGTGCGTTCTTCCGCGCTCTGTGCACAAGAACCTGCATTCTCACCTTCAGAACCTGCGGTTCCCCCAGTCCCGAACGCTTCCCATGGCCAGCGGCGCGAAGGGCGAAAGGCTTCGAAGCTCCCGGAGGGCTTCGCCCAGGCCCGAGCGCTTCCTGAGGACTCTGTGTCCGGGCGGATTCGTCTGGGCCTTTTGGGGCGGTGAAAGCAGAAAAGCAATGCACGTGGATCAACCAAACCACTGGAAAGGGGCCACCAGCTAGTTCGCTCAGGTCCGAGCATGTTTTCGCTAGGGGGAGGGCATCTATTTTCCCTCCGGATTGTATTGTTTTGAAGCAAAAACCCATATTGTAGCCTGTTCATGTCTGTTCACAGCCTTGAAGTTTCACAGCCTTGAAATTCAGGATTCCCTTGAAAGTTGGCTGCCGAACCTGTGCAAGATGGTGCGAGCTGTAGCAAGCCGTGGCGTGTAAGGGACCTACAGTGCCTGCGTCAATCTTTTGAGTTTTTTTTACTACACCCTTTTGGTGGGAAAGGGGTGTTGTCAGAAATATGACATAATCATACATAATCAACCATGACCACATATGACCACGCTTATGCAACCATGGCCCAAGCCATGAGCTGCCTTCTAGCCGGTGCTGAATTCCGGCCAAGGCTCGCATGGAACCAAAGCCTCAGCGTGCCCACCGCGACCAACCGAAGCGAAAGCGAAAGCGAAGCCGCGAATAGTGGTGGTTCCAAAAAGAGATCCAGTCTACCATGATTTGTAAAATGATCAGAGCTTGAAAGAATGGCCTGCGAAGTCAACTCTGGATTCAGTCTGATTCATGGGACGATATTAGTGTGCGCTGTTCGCCAGCTCGAGAAACATATGGTGGAGTTACATGAGTTGTTGACCTGGAAAGAACAGTTTGGATCAGTTTGGTTGCCCTATAGCATGGAGTCAGATGGAGTTACCCTGAAGACTTCTCCTGGAACCGAAACCTTTCATCCTTGGACATCCGTGATCTGGATTGGACCAATAAAGGAACCCACCCTCACAAAAAGGATAAGACGCTGGCTCCAAACGAACTAAGCGGCCAGAAGGTGTTGCCCCCATCCACGAAGAGCAAGCCCTTCCCTTCAGTGCCCAAGGCCGACTTCAACGCCGTGGTGAGAGGCTCGGAGCCTGGAGTGCACCGAGCCGCTTGAGGATTGTTGAGGTGTCCATGCAAGACATCTTGAGGGTGAGAAGGAGGTCTGACTTTTAAAAAGCCATAAAATGAGGTCATTCACATTCGCTGCTGAAGCCAGTCGCGAATGAACCAGTGTTAGACCGACTGGCGACATGTCTACCAATATAGGATCAACCTGCTGGGGACTTTAAGTCATCCAACATGATGCAGCCCTGCTGTTCAACATCTCAAAGATTCTCAAAGAACAATAAAGGATTGTGAAATGGCACAATGTTCCATTGCTCATCAATGGGCTAATCCACCGGGTTCGTTTCTTCCAACAAACTCCTTGGTGTGGTGATGCCGTAGAGTGAAGCAGGTCTGTTTTTTCTTTTTTTTTTTTCTAGGGTTTAGTTTGGTTCTGATGTTGTGATGCTTTGCGTCCTCCAGAAAGAACCGTCCAATATCATCCAATGCTCACTTGCTTCCTACATAAAGTTCTAAAATCCTAAAGCCCAAGGTATGCGTCAAAAACTTCTGCAACATCTAATGGAACAACCGCTAACACCCACCCCCTTCACGACGTTGAGGCCTCGGTTCGGATCGCAGTGTAAGTCCTGCGGCATGAGGTGAAGAAAGGGCCCCACGGCAAATGTGGTGATCTGTTCCACATGTTCAGCAGCAGGAAAAGGGATAGATTTCTCGATCCGATGGTTCAACAGTTTCTGTTTCCCCCATGGACTCCCAAAATAGAAAGGACCCACAAAGGCGAATGCCGCAAGGGGATGGCCATCTTTTCACCCTCCAACACAACCCCCATGAAACCATGATTCTTCAGGTATCATGGGGAAGAAGGCTCGACTGTGACAAGGTCCATGGGTGTTGTATCCCACGGACCAGGCGCATGATGCAGGCCTATGACTATGATCGGAACAAGCGCCCAAAGACCGGGCGCCCTGTCGCCTGTCACACAGCTCCAGCGCCGGGCGACCCGTGGGCCCATCCCGCTGCGAGTCTTGGCTGTCGAAGACTTGCGAGTTATATAAAAGGTCGCTCCCATTTCGCCTGACCTTGTTTCTGCCCAGGAAAGGCTTGAAAAGGTCATCAAACTGTCAAAATGTGTTGATTTCATCTCATCAAATGGCTAGTGTTCAACATTGAGGGGAAACGTCCGGTCGGTTTTTCTAGCCGCCCGACGTCGTCCGGTCGGGTCGGTCGGGTCCTCCAAGAACAGAGGCTGCGCCGTGCTGGCGCCCAAGGCCTCCTGGAGTCGGTGTGCCATATGGGTTCCTTTTCAACTGAGAAAGAGAACTATGAAGGAACCTTTCTGAAGGAACCGAAACCAGTTGAATGAATATCATTGAATATCGAACTTGTGGACTTGCTTTGACATGACAGGCCATTGAACATGGTATGGTATGTATATTGTTGCCCCAAACAAAGAAGTTCTCACTTACTTAAATGTGAGTCAATAATGTGGTCCTTTGATTTATAAATGCCCCTAGAATAATGATTTATAAAGGCCCCCCAGAATAATGTATTTTTTTCTGGGTGGGGTAGTTGTAGTGGGATATTTTTTATTGTGACAGTTTTCTTTTTCCCTTTTGAGTTTGCTGGGATTTGCTTATCTTACAGGCTTCCTTTTATTTTAATATTGCCAGAGTAGCTCCAGAGGTAGCTAGCTAAGGATTCCTTATTTAATTATCAATTGATTGATTTTCTTATACATTATATTGGAGGCCTTGGTTGTTGAGGGGGGGGGAGTTTATAAATCAAGAGTCAACATTGCTCAGATCTCCAAAGCCAAACGAGTCAACCCCCTTTAAGGAACGGCCACACGAATGGCCGGTGTCTACCTCGCACATGCCTGGGTTGGGTATTGCACAGGTGCTGCGGTGGACTCACCAACTGGGTCTTCACGCTATTCAATTGTGAAGGTTTTGAGGGTCCAATCCCCTGGTCAACACCCAGGGTCCAATGATGGTTAGAATCCACGGGTCGCCCGGTTCATGTGTAAATTCCCCTCATGAGAACATATCAGGTTGACCGTCAACCGGGGATTTGGGATGACCTGGGCGCTCGGCAATCTCCAGAACCCCTTCTGCGGTTCTTTTGGAGGTCCTGTAAATAATGCTTCGGGTGAGCGCGCGCAGTCCGACTTCTTGATGGCTTCCTGGACCACAACGAAGCACATGTCCAGCCACCGTTTTCCGCCGCGGCCGGGTTAGCCCGCCAGTGCCCGCGCAGTCGACGACGTCGGTCCCGCGGCACGTTCTCCTTCAGCGTGCGGCACTGGCTCCGCGCCTCGTAGCGCCGCTTCTTCCGCTGCTCCTTGGCCGGGCGGTCCGAGCTGCGTCGGTAGGCCGTGCCCGCGGTGCCCACATAGGCCAGCCTGGGGCGCGCGAATAGGAGAGGGTGGAAGCAGGAGTCAGGAGTCAGGAGTGAAGAAGTTGGTGGGGTGAAGACAGTGGATCTGACTGGGCCTTGTGGGATTCTTGTTGTAGTTGGATGAGCTTCTAAGTGGATCAAGTCGTAATAAGGAGGGACTCTGCACAGCGCATTTGGTTGGACATCAGGTGTTACAAGTTACAACATTTTAAATCTGGTTATAGACAAACAACATGTTTAAACATGAGGATTCAATGATCCACTGCTCAGGTCAATACGCTATAGCCACATATGCTGACCTTTTCCAGCCAGGCGCAGCCAAGTGAGCAGCATTAGACAGCAACACCTTGGACACATTCCTGGCGGACGGTCACCTTGCTATCAGCTGACCTTCAACACCCATCCCCTGGGCCAGGCTCGCCTGAGCCCATCGCCCAGCTCCAACCGTGGCAGTTCTGCCAAAGCCGGATCCGTGCGCGACGCCAGCAGCAGTGGCACACGGCCATCCGGCGCGGCGCGCGCGGCGACGCGCGCCAGAACGCGCTGCATGGGCGGCTTGTGGCGCCCGATGAAGGGCTGTGTCACCTGGGAAGGTTCTGCAAAGGATCCGTAAGGGATTATGGGTGTGCATTGATTAGACAGATTGGAAAAAAAGAAAAGATGAGGGAAACCCCCAACAGTGCTGGACCCTTATTAAGTCGTGGTTTTCAACGCTGGGTCTGAAGTCTCACTGATCGAATACACACACCGAAAAGGATCCGGATCTCTTCGGCAGCCCGGCTGCGACCCGACGGCAGTTGCCGGCGTCCAGAGGTGAAGGAGGACCATTTTTGCGAAGTTCTTCGGAAAGATGTGTAAAAGAAGTTGCCCTAACTACCCTACCTTTTTGGACTTGTTGCACCGAATTAAAGGGTGGAAGTCAGGATCACTACCCTACCAAACTAATTACTATAGAAAATGTTGATTGCCATCAGACGAAACGCTTGCCCACTCGCAACAACTACTCAAATTCGAGCGATCCCAGTGGCGAAGTCATTCTTGTAGCACAGAAGTGCCGACCAGATCAGAAGTGAGCTGATCAACCTCGAGGCCAAGCAGGACCCTGTGACAATTTATTTATCGAGAGAGAGAGAGGGAGATGATTAAGCATCATTAAACAAACTTAAGCAGCTTGAACCAAAGCCAAATACGCGGCGTTACCAAAGGACAAACAAGCTTTACTGGAAGGGCAGCAACAATAAATGGGAAAAGGACATTCCATGATCTTCCATGAAAGTAAACCTCAAAACCATGACATACCATGACACTATATCATTCAGTATGATTTGTATTGATTTGTACAAACTCCCAAGGCGAGTACCGAACCAGCCACCGGTTTTCCCGACTTCCAGCCGAAGGGGGCCCGGCCAGGCCCTGCCAATGAAATATGTGGAGGAGAAGTCCTTATTCTTCTATGGTGCGTGTGTCCCCAAAACCAGGGAGTCACGCATATCTAGCAGGAACATGTAGACATATGTAGACATATGTATGTAGACTTCACCCATTGCTTGGAGAATCCTTTTGTTTGTGATAGCCCCGTTGTCAAAGCAAACTGAAACGCCTATTGCTTGGGGATCCTGTCTACCCACACGTTCTAATAAGATCTATATAATGAGATCTATATACAGTAATGGGTTGGTAAATAATGCTTCAAGTTATCCAGCACAACAGTGCCTGACATATTATGTGTCATTCTTTCCCCATGTTCACAGGTCCAGGTATGTCCAGGTACTAGGCAACCACCCAGTACCAAAGAGTCACAAAATTGTAGGATGTCATTTCAAAAAACCATGCAGAATACAGGAGGCACATAGAAGCAGATTCTCAGGATCGGTGGGTAGATTCCGCTCGTTCTTTCTACTAAAGTAAGACACCTACACTCCCTTGACCCGCCCCCCTGATCGCACGGACCGTGGGACCGTGTCTTCGTCCTTCGCATGGTTGGTCGACCGGTGGCAGCTCGACCGCAGTCGCTTCGACCGCATCGACCCAGCACGATCGCGAATGCGGAAAACGCGGATCCGGTGGGACGGATGGATTCATGTGGGTTGATGGGCAGTTTGGGGGGGGTTGGGCGTTGAATTGGGTGATTGGTTCATGGTCCGGATGTTCGCATAGAAGCCATAACAGCACGATCGCGAATGACTTGTCCAGAAAGGTCGAACGCCCAAATTTGGGCTGAAAATTGATGTGCTATCGACGCATACTGCTGTATACCGTATACCTTAAATGCTTGCTTCTGACGCAAACTGCCACTAGCTTGAAGCCTTGACTAGAACCATCTACTTCAAGGTCAAATGAAAACATCCATACTATTACTATTCAACACCCTACAATAGCCAGTCCAGCAAAAACAAGTTGTTTCATTGTCTCAACAAATGTTACAGGTGCGCCATTGGTATTCTGATTATTTTGTTTCTGTGTTTTTCTTCAAAGCCCTTGAGGAAGCAGCTGCAAAGTCCACGTGCAAATGCAAACTCTGGACATGCAAGTTGAACACTGGTCGATGATGGTAGCTGTATGTAACGCCTTGTCCAGCAAATGTAGTTTGCGCAGTGATGTGCGACGCACACGCAAATCCAATAACAAATCCACCTTCACCAAAGCTAAAAGCTCTCATGTGCTTTTTGGCTAAAGAGTTGGCATAAAAATCCCTCCACTTGGACACAACACCCGAAGACCCTCTCCAGCAAGGCATCGTGACCTCAGAAAAAGTGGGTGAACTTCTCAACCAAGCTGAGGGGTTTGGCAAAATGTCCGGCACTCGTGGCGGCGACTTGGATGGACCGATGGACCACTTGAGGTTTTAGTATAAGGGGCACCGGCACATAATACAGTATCTGTATATCAATACAGTATGAATGTGATATATATATATATACCATTACGATCTATTACGGATTCATGCCAATGTTTGACACATGATCTACGGCAGCTACAGCTACGGCCAAACCCCCAAATGTATGGTTTCGCGAGGGGTTACAACCATGATATCAAGTCTAGAAAGGATTTTAGCAACAGCCCACGTTAAAGAAACGCAACCAAAAAACGCACACAGCCCTAGCCCTAGCCCACCCTTCAGCCTCGCCTTAGCCTTTGTCCCACTTCCACCATCCAAGACCGGTTTTTCCAGCCACCGTTGTCGCAGCTCTTGGGAAGCATGTGTGAGGCATGTTGCTATGCACAACCTCCATGGCAAAGTGGAGCGAACAGGAATGACCGGACGCGAAATTCTTCGAACTCCGTTCTTTCCACTTTTGCACTTGTAGTTCCGGTGGAAGTTCTCGGACAGAATTGAACCACGGCAGCACTGCTGTCCAACCACCAACTCCAATCGGTCCCACTTTCTGGAATCATCATGCATATCCCAAACACTCCATGTATGCCATATATGCCTACATTGGGGTGGTTTGAGGGGTCAAAGGGGTGGCATATATGGCATCTGGGTATGAAAGGGGACACCCGCCTTTTTGCTATTTGTATTTCATGGTGGTGCGTGCCATCCAACGTCCAACGGTCGTTTCAAGGACGGCCAGCAAGTCACCAGCAGGTTCATGGATTCATGATGATCCAATGATGATTCATGCTGATTCATGGCCATGGGCTTCTTTGGTACCTTAAGAAACCAGAACACAAAACAGAACCATCACCAGGCTTGATGGGCATGAATTTTTGAACCATACCCACTAAAAGGGGCGGCCTCCACCCCAGTCGAACCCCGCCGCTGGCGGCCGGTTCTCGCCGAGCAGCGCACGACGCCCGCGCGGCGCCGGAGGGCGTCCAGGACCTGGGCGACCGCCTTGGGCTCCCAGGCCTTGGGGGAATCGAACGTCCAGGAATCGGCCGTGAAGAGATCCGATCTCATTATTGTCATTGTCATGACATAACATCGGGAGATCATGGAATAAAGAATGCAAAGTTTGATTGGGTGTTGGCTTCTGCAACTGACTGCAACTGACTACTAAAGTATTGGATCCACAAAAAAATATGTCACGCCCTGATTTTGGAGGGCCACTGTTGGAGCCGTGACTCAGTGCTGGGACCCCCAAACGTCCGCCGGGCGTCGGGCCAGTTCACCGAACATGGCGCCATAGACCCTCGCTCCGGCGGTCGGGGCGGTCTTCGATGCCGAGCCGGCAATGGAGACGGCAAATCATCTCTTCATTTGGTCGTCATTCATGACCAGCTCTGAAATTCAGCAGCCACAAACGCGCTACAACTGCTTGATTTGCTAATGAATAGTGCTTATATATAAATAGATTCCTCGCGTCCTTTCCCTCTCGAAAAGGAGATGGAATGCGAAGCACGGCAAAGTCAATGCAATATGTCTCCCTTCTAAGCTAAAAGTTGATGGCTCCTGCACCATCAAGGACTCTCAAAAGTACTTCTCAACCTTGTGAAAACCATGTGCAAAAACTAACAAACACACACCTCATTAAGCCATGTATCTGTGAGTCTGTGACCATCTCGGACATTTGGTCTATTCCCAAACCTCCCAACAAGAACTTGACTTGTTGTAATAAAGTCTAAAATAGATCAACCATGATCAACCCCTGGAATGAATATTAGTGATGTACTCCTTCCTCGTCTCCACTTTCTGGGGAGTCCCACGTGGGGCCCCCAGATTTCAACTTGGCCAAGTTGTGGCACAAGACCTCCGCACGGTGCCAGCGGAAGGAGTCTTCGAACGTTTCAGACATGAACACATTCAAGTGGAGGTCTGATTCAGTGTTCATGGCCACTTGAATGTGGCCTTTGACTGAAAGTTTCAGTCATGAATACCGCAATGGTCTCAAGGACGTCCACATGGTCTCTGTGGCAGGGCCCTGCTGGATGATTCAATGATCCAGTCCTGAACGACAGCCCTATGTGGACTGCACCCGGTGCAGGCTCAACTGGAGTTAACCAAAACGTGGCATCCATGTCCAACACCAATGTTTGGACCCGTCATTGTCGTAAGTCGTAAGTGGAGCCAAATTGATGCTTCATACGTGAGCACAGATGCAAGCAAATGGCCCAACAACAATGCGGACAGAACTATAGATAGATGGTTCTGTTCGTGCAGAACCTAAACGGGGCGCTCTATTCGTGGGTGGTTTCGGTACTGAAGTGAGGTCAATTTTTAGATCACGGTGTTCATTTTTTCACCTGTGGGCTGTACTGATTAGTATGATACCCAAACAAAGTAAATCAAATCAATTGTCAATCTCCTTGGCTCAAGACGATTCAATCCTCCCACTGGTTGTTTCTTGTTCCATATGAAGAACTGAACTGATCTGTTACCCACACATCACCTCCCGCAGGGCTGTCTCACCACCCGCGGACCCCAGGGCAGCACACCCCAAGCTCGTAGAGTTTGTACCCACTCAAATCCTCGCAGGAGACCTGGGTGACCAGAGTGGATTCGAGTGGTCTGAGAGGGCAAATCATTGGACTGGACCTTCCTTTCGAGGTGTCTAATGGAGATCCAGTGCTGTAGCGGGTATTCCGAGACCCCGAAAGAAAGGCGCTGCTAAACCACGTGGCGATGCTCTCAGCTCAAGGTGGTGATGCTTAGTTTCTAGGACGTTTCCATTCGCCGTCCCCGCCGTCGTTCACCGGAACCGGCCCGTTTCGCCGTGCCCCACGTTCGCCTCGGGAGGCGGTCGCCTGATGGGTCGGCTGGGCCGGTGCGCCTCATTCACGTTCGGGATGAGGTTCATGGTCCATCTGTGATCTGAGCCCCCACGCCCGCTGCACCAAATTGTGGAAGAGCGGGACGTTGTAGCCTCGAGACGTGTTAAAGACCGCCATCCAGCCCAGTGGCAGCCCAGGGCTATCCAGCTCAGCGGCTGAGTGGCACGACACTACAGAATGGAATGATTGATCTTGAAAGGGAATGATGGCAATGTGTCAAGTGGGAGGACGAGAATGCTTATATAATGATGTGAGAATGTGATTGTAATGATCTTAAACAGTCCTATCATATCTTGGAGATTCTTTGAGCATATCTTAGCAAGGTACCAATTAGATGTTTTTGACCATAAGCCCATTTAGCATTGGCATCAATACCCTAGCATTCTCCAAAGCCATTCAACAATATTGTTCCATTATGGTTCCTTCTTTGCGTGTTATCTGGAACCCCTAGATTCGGTGCCCAATGGCCTGTCTTTTGAACATGATTGAGCGGTTGTGCCATAGTTCTAGTCCCAAACATCCCCCACTTCAAGCACAACCTGTTCATGCGGCCCGCTCTTGGGCGCTCCAGCAGGTCAGCCAAGAGAATGCGTGCACCACGTTACAGAGGTTCCGCGGGCTCAGTTCGTGCACCCTGGGAGGCAGTGCGCCGTGCGCCAGGCCGTCGCGTCCGGAGGGGGAAGTGGGTTGAAGTCGCTCTCGCTGCTTGAAGCGTGTTGCAGACCAAACAGACCAAGAGGTCCATGACGGTCCATGACGGTCCACGATCCACGAGGATTCCTGGTGCGTTTGGGTCGGTCGGGTGACCGACCCAAGCTCCATCGCACATCATGTCGATCTCTTTCTTCGTGCCCATCACTCGACTCATCTCCTACTCATTCAACTTGACAGCTCAAGGTGCCCACATTTGGCCCTGGCTACAGGCTCTTGTGCTAAATACCAATGATTCATTAATGATCAGTTTGCTTTGGGACTAGGCAGACTTCAGGGGGGTTGGGACCAAGCAGCTGTGGCAAACAGCGCTCTGCATGACAAGGGGGGAAATCCATCACCCAGACTGGCGCAGCTCACTCCCCAATTATGCCTGTCGACCAAATAGTCGCCGAGTAAGTGCATCCTGGCGCGCGTTGGCCGTGCCGGTTCTTTTGGTCCCCGCGACAGGGTGGCCGAAACACATCGATGAAGAGTGGGTGCGCAGTGCTCCCGGTTGTGAATACGAACCCTGCGGAAGATATCAAACGAGGACTCCTTACTCCTTTCCCGGAGGGGTTGAAACATGTTCTAGAAGCTCCTAACCCGGGCATCGCTACCAGGAACAAGTGCATCGCTACTAGTAGCTTCTTGCTACTAGTATTGCCCTTGTTACTAGTAGCGATGCACTATAGTTACTAGTAGGTGAATTCCGGATCCATTCCGACTCGTGCCCGGAATCTGCATCTCCACTCGCCGGCAATACGTCTGGCTCTTGCGAACCTGAGCGTGTTGGGTGAAGCAGCGAAGCGGCCGTGTGACCACCGGCGACTCAACCAGGGGTGCTCGTTGTCAGGCAGTCGCAATGGGCGGCGTCACGAACGGGATCAATTAGTCGTTTAGTCGTCCTCAGTCGACTGACTGCAGGTGTTGGAGTCGTGCCCTCTTCTTAGGTGTTCTTGCGTATTATGGTAGGGGCTCCTGGCATCGCTACTAGGAGCAAGGACGCTACTAGGGGCTCCTGGCCGTACTACTAGGAGCAAGTAGCTACTAGTAACAAGAAACTACCAGGGTCTGGGATTAAAATCGATGCGTGAAGGACCGTGAAGGAGCAGCTGCTGCTGCTGCTGCTGCATCTTTTTTGCTCGCAGGATGTGTCTGGGAGGTTGCACGCCCAGCAGGCCATGCGGGGGAAGACCGAGGTGGCTCTTTGGAGCACCCGAAAAAGCACATTCCGCATGACTGGGTGCATTTGCACCTCCCATTGTCCTATTATGTCCTATTCCCCAGTCTTCTGCATATTCTTGCCGAAGTACTTCAATTCTTTCGGCATATGGCACACGGCACACGCTTTACACATTCCGATTTCAGCCGATTCTTCAAACCACCAATGCTTGGCTTGGCGTCGTATCCTCTCGGGGCATACCCACTTCAATGTATCCGCGCGGCGTGGAGAAGTTTCCAGGCACCTCAGCTGCATCTGCAGGCACTGGTAGTAGCAGGGTGTTCATCCTGCCAACCATGAGTTATCCTGACTTATTTAGCTTTATCTAGCTTTGATGATGCAATTTGTTGTTGTCTGTTGTTTTAAACAGTTTCTTTTTTTAACATGCTGTTCTCTCTCGCTCTCTACATCTTGACATTACTGCCAAGTGGCATAATGCTGCATGGCAGCAAACACATCGGGCAAGAACGCCCACCACGGAGGATACTTGTACCTGTCAATCGCATGCGGGACTTCGCCTGCGATTGCCTGTGGTCACCCGAACATCTTGGAACATCTCTCAAGTCCAAACCAGACTTGTGAACTAGTGAGTTTTGTGATAGGGTGGAATACTTCCCACCAGGAAGCCGGAACTGGGCACAAGGAATATTTGGTGGCCACTGGTCACTGGTGATTTAAAACATCTATCAATATCAATATCAATATGTGTCAAACCTGGGAATCATTTTGATGAGATTGGCCACGCGGGTCAAACGGTGAACTCAGGATGCCTCCAAACTCCTCGAATTGTCAAAGACCGCATCGATGAACTCGACATTAGCCACCTATAGAAAAGTATCCTTCCTATACATACACGCACACGCCCCCCGGGAAAACAACTCTTCAAAAATTCAAAGGAAAAAACATCAAACAAATAGAACAATCCAATCTAGGCCTCATTCGCCGTTTCTTTTTGGGGCGATTCCTTCCATCTCCAATCACCGGCTTGGCGCCTGGCGACATCCAGGACCAAGACTCGGTCGGTGGTCTCGTCATAAGCACCGATGGGGCTGTGATGGCCCACGCCTCCACGCTGTTGTGGGGGGGGGTCCGTGAATTCGGCGGACGAACCTCGAACGGTCCACCGACCACCGAGGTTTGGGGGGGGACAGGTCGCAAGGCCCCATGGAGCAAACACCCATCTGCACGAAAACCAGTGTCACACGACCACGAAAAGCCAAACAGAAGCACACCTACATAGTCCCACCATGTTGAACAACACAAGTTCAAAAGGATACAATGTTCACCGTTGAGGCCGTAGAAAACTGTTTTCACGTTTTGTAAGTATTTGTTGGAGTCTGGAGTGCTTTGAGACTCAGAAGTGTTGCTCGCTGAAAAAACACTCCCCAACCTTGCTGCTGCAGCCCTCGACGGTCGAAGTTGATGGACACAAAGCGGTTGGACAAAAAGGCCTGGCAGCCAACTCCAGGAATCCCGGCAACCCCGTTGGGGCGGATTGGTGAAAGGTACAATTTTGACTGCGTCTGGCGCACGTCCAGAAACAGGAGAACACCGGACCAGGTCCTGCATTGGACCTCCCGACATCGGCCGTTCTGCCCATAATCCATCTTCGCGAAACTAATTATATAAATACCGACCTAGAGCCTGACTGGCCGAAAAAAAACCATATGTTGGATGGTTGATCCTCCAAAACAGGGGTCACTCAGGCTCCAGGTATTTTTATATATTATTTAAATATATATATATATATAGATGTATGTGCGTGTGTGGATCAACCCGTCATTTTAGTGAATGCAACTCATTTCCAGGAGGGCGTAGTCAGGAGGGGCTTCCTCGCATGGTGCCGGAGGAGACTTACAGCGAATTCGAACTGCTACTACCACTGCCACTACCACTGCGACTGCGACTGCGACTCCTACTACTACTACTACTGCTGCTGCTGCTGCTGCTACTACTACTACTACTACTCCTACTCCTACTCCTACTCCTCCTACTACTACTACTACTTGTACCACCTACTGCTACTCATAATCCCAAATGGTGTCAGTGCCTTGACAGTATTCCGCCTCAATTGTTTGCTAGGGGGACCCCGCTGACTATTTAGTCTCCAGCATTAAGAGGTCAGGCTCGAGGTGAAACAGGGATGGGTAGGCTGAGTCCTGGGTCGCGTGGAAAAACATGCTTTAGGATTCAGGCAGCCATGCGTGCTCATTTCAGAAATAAATAAAATCCCAATCTGGCGCCAATAACCATCTGATCGGCTGACATCTCCTTCTCAACTGTTACACATTACACCTGAACTACAGCAAGCGGTGGCGCTGTGCATGATCTCGTTGTTGTGTACTTTCGCCTCATGACTTGTGACATAAACGTTGATGCAGCCACTCGTTGTCGTCTCTTTTCTCCAAGTCTGCAGCCACTGGGCCCTCTTGATCCTCTTGTGGCCTCCAACACGGCAACTGACTCAGGGTGTGTCGGACATCAGCAGTTGCAGTCTCCCTCCGTCGAGACGTGCACTGCGTTGTTGGCCAGGAGGATGATGGAGGCACAGCCCTCCACACCTGCGGCTTTGCATGAGTTCTGCATCAGGCACGGAGCTTGCACCCGGATATGTTCTGATGTGTGCCGGCATCTGCTCGGGCACGCTTTCTGGCAAAGGCGAAGTGAATGCAAGGCAGGAAAAAGACGAAGGACATAAAACACTAAAGAAAAAAACAAGTGATCCCGACTGCAAAGCGTTTGCACGCACTTCTGTCGCATCATCAAATGTCAGGTGGGACATTGTTCTCCTGGCTCACCAGGAACAAGTTTGGTGTGTACCTTGGAACATGTTCGGACATAGTTGTGAGTTGACACAAGTGTTCTAGCCAGCACTCAGTCACTCGTTTCGACAAATCATCTGTTGACATTCATTTGGTGTGATACAGTGTACACACACACATATATATATATATATATCACAGCTTAGACGCGCCTTTTTAAGGCCACAGCAAGGCTAAAGTGCCAGCGAATTCCTCTACCTACAGGAGGACTGACCGAAACAGGGTGATCCCACTCACCCTATAGACATAGGAGACATTTACCACAGGCCCCATGGAGCCTGGTAAGGGCATCGCCCAACCACCTAACCACCCCTTGCTGAGGGAATCCACAGCCCACACCCCGCGCACAAACACTGGACAGGCAATCCGACCAGGCAAGCGGGGAGGAGAGGGAGGGAGCTAAACACTAGAGACAAACGAGAAACTAACTAACTAACTAACTATGATATAACATCGCATCCCTACTCATTCGCTACACTACATTCCTGGGGGCTGCTAATTCCTATAGATTAATATGTAAGGATGTAACACATCCAAAGAGAGATCGGTGACCACCCGCACCTGGGGTCCGTTGCACGTCTTCCGCAGCAAAAGTCTCAGCACGTCTCAGCAATGGCCTTCTTGATCGTCGTGCGGAAGTGGGCCAACGAGGACTTGGATGCCTCGACCTGGGCTTCTCGTAGCTGGGAATCTCGAAGTTGTGCCAAAGCCTCTGAGCAACAACTATCACAGGATACGAAACATGTTTAAGTGTTTAAACTCTTTAAAGGCAGCCTGACTGCCCGTGACCTAGCCATCCCGATTTCTCATAACTGCTGCATCAGCCGTTGCTCGCCTGAACCATCCTGGGCTCCCTGCGGCTTCGGCGGCTGCTCCGTTGCAGCTCATGAGAGCGGCCACCTCGCACCAAACACCATATATGATCATATGAATCATATATATATATATATATGAGGTTAAGGGCTAAGAGTACATGGCCCAAATCCCAAACAATCTCCCAGTGATATGTCGAATTCCTCAAAATTGGGGCACCCGCAAACCCCTAATGTGTGAAGGAACAATGAGTCAAGAAGTCCAACAACATCCAACGACCATGCCTTGGTTCTCAAAAAACTACCATTTCCCCAAAGCTTCGGGAGATTGGCGCCTGCTCAAGGGAGCCTTTCCATGGTTCAGTATGTGCCTGACACGAGCAGGGCTGCAAACATGCCGGAGCAAAGTCGCATTTCCAAGTCTTCTGGGATGCTGGGGGGTCTTTTGGGGTCAGTCAATGTGAGTGAACAACAAATGCGAGGATTAGTGGGTTGGCGAGTTCTGGTAGATTGAAATGATCTCCAGGTGAGCAACTGCCTGAGCAACTGACACGGCCTCACCTCTCGCAGCAAAGGACAAAAACGGAAAAATTGTCAATGTCAACCTTGTTCTGAAACTTTTAGTGCTTGGCAAAATCCAATTGTCCCTAGGAGGGTAAAACCTTCCTCGGACTAGTCGATCTTGCCTCGATGGGTCTCGCTACACAACTGGTGATGTGCTTCTGGATGGAGCTTCTGGATAGCACTGGAAATTTTGATTGGCCCAGCCAGTCTTGAATGCTAATCTTGGAGAGATTCAGGTGAGAATCCAAAACCATTGTTTGATACTTTTGGGGGATCTTCTAGGCAGAAACCTTAGAAACCATGTTTAAGAAGCGGCCTCGAGATGAACCAGGGCCGCGCCGCTGAGACACGAAAACAAAA